GGATCAACAGAGCCAGTAAATCAAAGTTATTGGCTAGGATTGAATCAGCTTAATCTACAGGGAAGTTTTAGCTTTCGACTACAACACTAAAGGAGAATATTTAGATAAAATACTTAATAATTAATAACTCTATTAAATTAGTATCATTCAAGGCTTCGCGCTAGAGTTTAGTGAAAAGTAAGCACTAGTTATTTAACCAAGTTGAATTAACGAAAAAGCACAAATTACTTATCACAGCAACATTCTAGCACAATCCTTTCACTAACTTACTCGAAGCGAACACTATGTTAAGGAACTCTAGCTCACCAGGAATTCTTTGTAAGTGCAGGGGTAGTCGCCTTACCTTCCTACTTTAATTAATTAACTACTTTCCTTATAGCAATCTTTATATAATTTTACAGGTCTGTGCCTTTTGTTGAATCTTTATTAGAGTAGTGAAACAATCTCTCTTTCTTTTTCACTAGTAGTACCCCTAAAATTGCTAAGGACAATCTATTTGCCTTATGTAAATTGGGATAAATTCTCTTAACTTTAATTACTATAACTATCTTCTACTTCTAGTGTGTCATTCAGTTAATGTTCTTATCAAGAGGTTGACACTAATGTCGCAAGGCTCTCGTGTACTGTTGCATTGATGGAGTCTCCGCTAGTAAGCTAGAGAAGATTCCTTACTAAACAAGTCCGTTTTTTTCGCTTATCTACAAGAGCTGGGTTTAGCTTTGTCAACTAAGTTTATAATAACACTTTAGTAACGCCTTTACCCATAAGGATAATTTGAGATACTAGTGCGAGCGCGACCAGGTCTCCTCTAAACGTAGGGAGGTTGCCAACATTAAAAATGTCTAATTTAATACGCACGGTAAGATACTTGTACTAATCCCGTGCTGACCTCCCTGCGCACTAGCTAACATTTATCCCCGCCCGACAAATGATGCTTTCCTAGCGGTGTTGATACTTAAGCGTCCTAAAGAGAAGGTAATACATAGATCATTGTACTCGTTAACCTTAATCAGCGTAAATTAACTAAACTCCATAGTTCTATTTTCTGTGAGCTTGGGGTGTCTCAAGTAAAGAGAAGGATCGCCTCAATATCACCAGGTGTTTATTATCCTATTGTTAGAGTGTAGCATCTAAAAATTAATGGCTGACCTCCTCAAGTAGGGGAAGAATTCGTACGTTTACAGGTGGCCACTACAAAGCATAGACTTCTATTGATCTTTATACAATTAGTCAATATTCGCTTAACCGTTTAAGTTAATCATAAAATACCAAGCTAACCAAATAGCACTACTACTGCTACCCCCTTAAAATGCTACTACAGATTCAAATCCTAGGTTACTGTCGATGGTACCAGCGATAATAAAGTTAAGACGAAGCTCAGGTATTAAATAGTAATATACTTAATTATGTCTTGTTTTATACTCTCTAAGCCGGAGGTGATTTTTTGCTCAACACTTTCGTTACCTAAAAAGTCTTGTTTTGTGCCTTATCCAATTTCTAGCAATGTAGAAATATTAGTTTCGATTTAAATGAAAGGACCAAGAACAGTTAGGTTAGCAGCTTATTAGCAAGTTGTCATGTAATTCGTTGATTGTTTTCATTCCAGTTGGTTTGGTTTAAACAAGTAAAGTTGACTAAATTAAAATTAAGATCCTAGTACGTTAGATTAGGCTCCTGAACCAAAGAGAGATGGCGAATTATGAATCAGAGGCTGAGGTATGTTAGATTTCCTATTTTTTACTCCTTTAGCCATGTTACTCTAAAGTAGATACCTCTAATTTTACAGCTCAAAAGGAGTAAAACTAATTTACTATCGTGAAACTTTTTTAACCCCTTAAGTTATCTACCAGTTTCTACTGATAAATTAACTTAGCTCATATTAACTCAAAGCTTTTTTGTCAACTTTAGCATTCAATCGAATCTAAAAAAGATTATCGTACGTTTGTAACTTAAACGTAGTGATGGGAACAGTCAGGGTACGTGCTTCTTTCGTAAGAAGTCTCGCTCAACTTCTTTCTTGCTCGTCCTAGGTCTTAAAAAGATACCTTAAAGGTATGTGAACTTAATGGTTTCACGTGAGGAGAACCATGAGATCTCTCTGTTTGTATTGTAAAGCAAAATGGTAGTTAATTTAGCACCAACCATTTCAAACCATCAAAGAGACCAAGAAAGGATAATCATACTCCAAGTCTAAAGGACTGACACGGATTAACTGTGGCTCAATCCTAAAAGTTGAAGGTTTACCATCTAAGAAGTGGAGAGTGATGAAACCATAGTCTCTCGCAAGCTAAGGATGCGTGATGAAGAGAATAGGAAACCATAGCTAAGAGACTATATAACTAGTTGTGAAACATGATTATACTTTTAATTTTAAACAAAGATATTTATATAACATTAATTATTTGGCTTTTAGGTAAACTAAGTTTCTTTAATTCCCTCATAGCGTTAGTTAAAATATATCAAGTTTTTTAAAACACTTTTATTTCTTAAGATAGGTAAATTCCGCCCCATGGGGTACTACCCTATACACAGTAAATTGTAGTCTAAATTCTATAAAACATTAACAATTTGCAAACGTTCACCGCCATAAGTGCTACTACATTCCTATTGGTTTTAGAGCTTTGGTAATGCATTCCCCCTTCATATTCGCCTTTTTTAAATTCGTACAATGTTTTTAATAGGGAATTAATGAGATGGGGAAAATGTATGTACGTAGAACTTCCTGCTGTAAATTATGCTAGTGACTATAACACTCTCGAGCTGAGAAAAGGTAGTTTATAGACGAAGAAATTCTTAGACATAGAATGAGTCTATATACTTGGTTAATTAGCTACTATACTCTCACTGGAGTCAAGTAATGTAACCAAAACGCCTTTTAAAGAAGGGTATATGTTCATTGTTGTGCTCTGCTATGAGAAGACTGGCGCGGTATATCACTTGAAAAGAAAAGCAAGCTCCTGCTGGATGGTTATAATACAAAGTACGCCCTTACAAAAATAAACAGTGTTATAGAGAACATGCAAAGAGTTCAAAGAATGAGCGCTAATATATACATGAAGGATTTTTTAATAAGCTAACTGGATCTTAAAAAACAAGGGGAGTCAATTAAATTTAGATACTGCAGAAGAGAAGACGTAAAAATTTAATCGAAATGTGCTAATAATTATATATTAAGGTTTTAAATTGCTCTGCTCCAGGAATACTTGTAGGAAAATGCACACGTTTTATAGTATAAATTATTAATGTAATAAAGAAGCTTATCTATGGAAATATCGGTATCTCCGCTGGAAGCAATCCAATAACTCGTGGTCCCTCATTATTTAAGCATTACACGTGGACTACGGCAGAGAAAGACGCAAAACAAAAGTACAAGATTACGAAAAAAAAAAATTTTCAAGTAGGTCCATTTTTAACAATAGTCAAGTTTTTCGACCATTAAAGTTTTCACTTTAATATTCAGCTAATAAAGAAGAACGGTAACCCAAATTTTCGCGTGTACTACTCTTTGCTATGATCAACATTAGTTCCAATTTTTTTTTCTTCTGAAATCATTAACCGATTGACCCTAATAAGGCTTTCCCCTATTCTATAATATATTTCCGTTGCACGAGAGGTTCCTTTCTAACAACTTTAATATTTTAAATCTTTTTATAAAGCGTGACGAACTACTATCTAAAGCCTAATGGCAGAAAAATATGAATAAGGAGCGTATTCCCTTAGAAAATAAAGAATTGAATGACGACCAAATATAACTAAAAAGAAAATTATTGAAAACAAAAAGTTTAACTCGAGCGAGGAAAAGCTAACCCTTTGTTGCTTTAAATACCTTTAAAAAGTAAACTCAGAGATTGGACCAATACCCTCCGGTCGGTATCGGAAAACGAGTTAAAAACACCATTTAGTAAGTCAAACGGCATTATCACAACTTAACAAGGCCCGTGCACGTAAGCTTTAGGTTAATACAGTTTCACCATTTACATTGCTGGTGCAAAGATCGAGCTTACCCGAACTAATTCTTTCTATATATATTTCTTCGGGTTTTTAAAGGTTTTTTTAACCACACTAGCCTTATTTTCCCTAAACCTTTTAAGTTATATTATAATAGCAACAACTATATAAATAAAACAAGTCTAATTTCTGGTTATATAGTAGTGTTAGCAGCAACTTTTGCATCTGTTCTAATTTTATACCTATTCTTATCATTGCATTAAAAAGACTGTATAAAAACCGCAATTACCTTCTACCAACTTGAAAAGTTCTACTAACACTTAAACTGCGTCAAAATGCATAGTAGGTATTGCAAACGAGTGTAAACCTATTCTGTTTTTATAACATTGAATTGGCCTACTTATGTAACACACAGATACATGTTTATTTATTCACTAACTTACTGAGTCCTGTTTAGCATAATAATATCTATAATAATTAAAAATTCTTAAAAAGCATAGTGCAGTTAACAAATTTGAAATAGTATAATATGGTAATCTAACTTGCATATATGCCTTAAAACTTGGTTAAAAGAGCTATATACAGTTAATTTTTAGAAATTTTATAGTAGTTTGACTATAAATAAACGGCACTACCGCCAAAAAAAGGTAAATTGATAATTTTTTAACATAAAACACAAACATATAAATATGACGTCGCGCTGCTTATATAAATAGGGAAACGTAATTATTTCGATAACATTGCACTTTATATAATATTGCTCAATTAAACGTGGTAAACGAGGTCCTTACCTTCAGTTTTATATAATAAAAATCTTTGTAATATTCTAAAAAGGATAGCAAACTTTGTAAAAGACCAAAATAGCTAAATTATATTAAAGTTTGAAAACTTCATACGTTTTAACAGTAAATAAAGGTTGGTACAGCTCCCTAACATGTGGCCGGAAACTTAAGTTAAAAAAATCATACCTACTCTAAAAAAATTATGGAAGATAATATTTCCAGTAGAGTCATAGACAAAGCATATAAACAGAGACCCCTTATTTATTACAAAAGGTAGTTTCTTTGGATAGACAAATAGGATTAATCAACCTTCGTAGTATCTCTCACTTTTAATTCTAATCTGGTTAAAAGTTAATCAAGAATATACTTGAATGATTAGTTGTATATGAAGCGACAAATTGTTAAATAAAAAAGTCTTGAAAATTACCTTTTTTGCTCAAAAGAATTCCAAAGCAGAGCCAGCACGGAAATTTTTTTATAGTCAACGCACGAAATGCCTAAAAACGCGTACAACTGAGGGACGACGAAACGAACACTGAAAGCATCATCGGGTGTGATAAAATAACTTAAGACTGGGCTAGTTGCCATATAAGTCCAGACGGCGAGGCAGCCCAAAACAAACACGTTGATAATTAAAGGAAACCTATGCGGGATATGAAGGAATAATAAAAATAATCTTTACTACATGATGTGTAAAATAGTAGAATATTAAATAACAGCTATTATTGCAGAAATATTATCTATTTTACCACTTTAAACCAAAAAAGGATTGATAACCGCCAAACGTTCTTTTAAAGTCGTAAAGATAAAAACTTCGACGTCTAAAGACACGCAGCAGGGTAACTGCTAGTATAGTGCCACCATACGCTGCATAATAAAATTTAAAAAAACTATATAAAACAATGAACATGTATACTTATAAGAAAAGCTTTAGTAACCTACAGGAAACGGTGTCAACTAACCATGCAAAAAGGAGCCAACAATAGCATTAATGGTTGCAAAACGCAGTGGACCCCGCAAAGCTGCTTCTTTTCCGCCATAAATAAGTCTGTCCACGCGTCGAAGTTCATAAAAGGCTTTTAAGATAATCTGCGTTAAATAGCAAAAGCACGGCAGGGTAGGACTATCCGAACTGAACTAAAACGCACAACTTCTAAAATTTAATTAGCCCCATCGAAAATCCTACCATAAGTAATTTTAGTTATCTATGTTATTCAAAACAACTTAAATCTCTCAAATAGTTGTGCATTTTAGTACAGTCTGGAAGCCCTATCGTACCGTACATGTGGCAGGTAAAAAAAAGTGTAGGTATAACATAAAGACTGTTAACCTGCAAAAAATCATTTGACAAGTAATACTTGAAAAAAAAATTTAGTCTGCTGGCAAAAAACCAGGTTATTAAAGGAAATAAAAGAGCCTCTAACGAAAAGATACTTTTGCAGTTCCCGTCACCTAGTTAAGGAAAATGCAAGCAAGATAGAGCATATAAAAAGTTACTAACTAATAGATCTACCAAGAACAAAAAAAATTCAAATTATAGTAACAAAGTACCCAAATATAGAGCTAGCAAAAAACTTCCACCAAGATTAACTACATATGAGTAGAAAAGTGTTTGAACATAACTATAACGAAGTGCGCGCAACCTATGATACATTTATGCTAAGTGGGCTATTGAAAATAATACGGTAAAATAGAATTTCAAACTTTTGGTTTTTAGAAGACTCTGCTTCTCTGGCCTCAATGTTATTCATTAAACATGAAACAAAGAAAAGGAATCTATTAAACATGCAGTAATATGTGAAAAATTGCTTCTGAAAACTAATATTTTAGGCGGGTTAACAAAGGAAATATTTATCGATAACGAAACTCGTTTAAAATAAGAAAAATGGTAAAATAATTATTATTATACGCATACTTGGTATTGGTTGCCATAAAAATATAGAATGGACGTGTTAGTCCCGCGAATAATCCTCTAAGTAAGCATACCACACCGTCGATCATTCTTAACAATCTTAACAGGGGGTACTCTATTAAAAAGCCTTTGAAACTTTTACACTAAGGACAGAAGTTTTTCGTTTACGGAGGCTCCTCTAAAAAAAGAAACTGTTTTAAGGGGGGAGTTGATTGGTCCTTAGATGCAATTTGTAAAAATAAAATACTGCGGTGTTGGCCGTTAATTAAATTCCTTAAATTTTTTCCTTTATATTAATCGCTTTAGTTTATTTGTTCCCCCCCCCCCCAATTAGGTTGTTATTTACCCCGCCCTATAAAACTTTTTTACAGTATTCTTTAAAAAATATATATGTTAGATAATTTTCTCGTACATAATATATTAAACCTACATTTTCTGTGTTTCGGTACAGGGATGCCGGTAGCTGCGAATATATTGGAAACCTTACTTTTTTCTTGATCATCGGATAACGAATTGTGTGGAGAGTAACGTTGAAAGTCTTTAAGCTTTAGAAGTATAAGTACTTTTTTATAGTTTGCAATAAGTTAAAATTGAAGAGTTTTAGGCCTACGATTAAAACTTTTCTGCTTTAAATTAGTTGTAGTCGCACACGTCCATGACTCAGTCAAATCTAAAATTTTTTGACCCAATCTTAAAAAATAAAAACCGTATCAAGCATTACACGTGGACCTCGCTACCAAGGTCAAAGTTGGTCCAGCTTTCCCGTTTAATGCACAGTAGTTTGTATTTTCACTTAGAGCGAAAACGATGACCGGCGAGTCGTAAGACCACGCCAGAGATGCCATGTCATGAACGTCCGAAATAATAGTACGTGCGAAGGCCTCCTGTGGAAACATGAAATTTCTCTCTCACACAGTAGAGGGTACAACTTCTTGCTGTTGGAGTCTTATTAAACTCCTTGAGGGCGCCCGTGAAAAAGTACGACTGAATAGCTCTGCAAAGGCTAATAAGGTGTCGAGTTACATTAAAATCGAGTAATTCACCGCTACGTTGTAGGGAGACCCGAATATAGAAGTAGGCTGACCGACATGTAGCGCACACAAATCGTGAAAACACTGTCATCCCGCTGCTGAAGGCCTTGGAGATGGCCTAAAAGCATGCTGAAAGTTGTGATCGTTCAGATAAGATTTAAGCGCGTCGCATAGGACAGACGAATAGGCTAAAGCGCGTAGTATAAAAAGTTAGCTTCATGCCAAACAAAAGAGTTTTTTAATAGCGTGGTATACCTGCTCGGAAGAAAATTTTTTAAGTTATTTTATGTCCTCGCCGAATTCCAAGTTGGGCCTCACCAAAACACCGCTAGTGTTTACGACTGCTTTAAAGCGGCGCAGAAGAGAAGTCTATACATTGTCAGGAGGTTTATGACCAGGCATTCATTGGGCAAGACGAAATCCGCCTTCTTCCCAGTCTAAAAGGTGCTGAGTGCCAATGTTGATTAATGGAAGAGGCGCAGATAATTCATCGCTGAAAACGGAATCCAACATTTTCTCACCGGCAAAGTTTTAACAATCATCTGAATGGCGTCAGTTTCGCCTTTACACTTAGCTCTCTATTATTAAAATAATATTGCCGTCAAACAGGAATATTAATGACAAGAAAACTTTTTTTAAATCGCGCTGCAAAGAGGCACGACTGTCCTCGTCGACCTCTCAAACGCAATTTAATTTAGCCTTCCCCGAGTTTCTACTAGTGTGCCATGAGCTTAGGTGGATGTACAGACGTGTAAACCCCTTACCTCATCAGGCATGCTAGTAGAGCGGAAAAGCGAGAGGTGGTCGTAAAGCCTCAAAATTTAGTGATTGCTCTTTGGCGTTGTGGCTGGATAGCTGTCCTTGCAGTAGCAGAAGACTATGTTGGAAGGTCTTGCCTTACCCGGGAGCGAAACTTAAATCTGGTATAACGATGAAATGAGGAGTTGGAAATGAGTTTCACCGTGATCGGCTATAGTCGACTTTATATGATAATGTATAAAGAAAATAGGTGCAAACAAGATACACATATACTTAATAAAAGTAAACACAACAGAAATAATAATTTGAAGATAAACTAATTAAGGTAGAGGGTGTCTGACAGGGCTCAATATCAGTTCTTTAGCAAGCGTTTATTATTAGTGGTAAGAAACTGGGCATGGAACCTTATTATTAGGAAAGATTAGTGCCTATTAGATTTTTCACCACGCAATAATTAACCACCTTAAGGGTGATGAGCTTTATCCAGAGAGAAAGTTGGTTTTATACCGGGAACTTCTTAAACATTCACTTTTTTTTTTTAATTTAAAATTCTTTAAGAATTTTTTCTGCGGATCTTTTAAATGCTTAATTATCGAGATACGATAATAATTTTTAAAACAGTAATGCCAAACATAAATAATAGCAAGGCTCCATAAAGACTATTTACCAATTTGATTAAATCTGAATTTTAAGTAGTTTCACTATAACGAACTGTAACTTAGGTACATAAATGACCTTACAAAGCTAATAAAGTGTAATGAAAAGCTAACCTGGCGCTTTTTAAGTTATATATTCAAATGGAAAGTCTCAAAACAGATCGTTATATGACTTTTTTAATCTGTTTTATTCGTACACACTATTAATTATTCATTTTTTAAAAATGACTCCTGTTTAAAAATAAGTAGGGAGATCCCTCTATTTCATTAATACTTTTTTTTTATTGCTGTCAAGGGATCCAGCATTGATAAGAACTCGAAGTAGCTCTGATTTACAATAGCGCTGTCCATGGCCTCAAAAACCCACAAACTATATGTGCGATTTAGTTGGCAAACCGTTATCATGAAGGCTGTTTCCCCCATGTACTTATAGTAATTATTTGATACATTCTTTTTTGTAATATTGCTTCTCTTATTTGCAGTAAATGTTTCAATTTAAGGAGGGCCCTACATTGTAGCAAAAAAGCACAGTATACACCCCACCTAACACACAATTTAAAACACGATACAAAAACATAAAAAACAAATAGAAAAACAAAAATAAACATATTACAAAAACATAATGTATAATACATTAAGTATAAAGTACACGATTATCACAAAAACACATACACAAAACACAAAGAAGGCGAACAACACTAATAACACTCTATATTTACACAGATATGATTAGTGGTTAACCAAATCAGAAATCTGAAAAACAACCAATAAAAATACAAGAAAAGGGAAATTAATATTTCCGCACATAAAAAATTTAATTTGATTTACATTATTAATTGGATACAAACTAAGCAAAGTAAAATATTATCTGGTTAAATTAAATTTATTGTACATATATGGAAGCATATTTCGACTTTTATAAAGGTAGAAATGCAGACCGAAACTGGTCAATAAAAGTATCCTTAATTTAATATACTTCATTTTTTAAACAAATTTGATACATTGTTGGCGCTAAATTTTTATTTAACCGATCTACCTGTGTAATAGATCTCTGACCGGATTAAATTAATAGTCACACGTACCTCAGTTTTTTATTCCGATAATTTGTTTCCACAATGTGGCATATAACAAATTTTCTCTAAAGTATATTTTATAGATATATTTTGTGCAATTTCCTAGACCTAACTTTATCTTCTGTATTTTAGCGACATTGTAAGACATAAACTGATATACAAGTACTTCTCCGAGAGGTTTATTTATTCCCCTTACACTCTAATTGCTAAGTTTAGCATAGAAAAAATTTTAAAACTTGAAATTGGTAAAAAAAAATAAGAGGCACATTTATAGATAGGGTAGAGAGCTGCCCCTGGAATTAGTGCAAGACCATTTTTTATTCAAGTTATAAGGACAAAGGGTATATAACTACCCACTAACAGCAACAACATTTTTTTTATAAAATATAACTAAAAAAATGTTTATTTTGCAAAGTTAAATATATGAGAGTTTAACCTAATAATTACTAATTATAGAAGCTTAATTAAAATGGCGGTCATTATAAAAGTTAAGTCTAGTTCATGTAACTAGCTACAGGAAATAATTAGAGAATTTAACCAAATTTCTCTTGGAGCTTTCCTCGTAAAGAATACCATAATCTCCTGGAATCAAATTAGTAGCAATTTTAGGGCATTTATAATCGGTGATTATAAGTACAAACAAGAAAAAGCTAAATAACTTAATTTCTTTAAATTAAATGTACTTTTATGTCTACTTTTTTATTGGTTTCTAAACCACTTTAAATTGCATTTTAAAATAATTATTGAAATGTTCTAGCGTCTAAACCCAGCGATTCGTAACACAAAAATACCCTCCACCTAGGAGTTACATCAGAAAAAACGCTAATAATTAAAAATAGGTAGAAACACGTTAACGTACTTACAGCCCTACATTTCATATACAGGAACACAACTTTATATATACATGCATATGTTACACAAAAAAAGATGAGATAGCCACACTGACTAAACCCCGAAAGAAAGAAAAAATTAGAGGATATATTTTTACTTCTAAACATAAAATAACGAACATAAAGGGCCAAGCGCACTATTGGAGTGGCTGTAAAAATTACGGAAAATTATGAATAATGTAAAGTTAGATTATTTTTACATTGTATCATTTTCGGAATTAGTCCTTATTTTAATTAATTAACTATCTATAGATCTTAACCGCTGGGGGTAGATAAAAGAATTGAAAGAGGGCTACTTCGCAATATTAATCAGTTATTTAAGTGTAAAATTTTTAGTTAAAAATGAAAACTATTAGACGATAAACAAATTTTATAAAATGTAAAACCTTTATAGGGATTAAATTATAAGAATAGCAGAAAGAGTTACCAAGGAATGGTACACCTTTTGGTTTATTTTTGTCATTAGTTAATAGACCTCACAGTATATTAATTACATTTTAACTAATTTAACTAGATATAGTAATTACTTTTTGGCATGACTTCATTAATGATTTTTCTTTGATAATTGAAACTGGAAGAAATAATTATAGATTTACGCTGATTTGGGCTAAATCGCTCGTATTTTTGTTAGTAAGTTAGCTAAAGCTTGCATAAATATACTGTAAGAAAAGCATAATAAAAGAATAGAATTTTTATATTACTAAAGGCATTATTGTCATTACTGAAAAATAGCGCTAGCGTGATGTTCAAAACAGTAGAGTTATTTGATCAATTCCCTATTGTGTTGTGCTCATGGTATGTAACTAGGAACAATATATATTTATATCGCTTTTTAAGAGACCTCTTATGAAACCAGTAAAAAAAATGAATCATGATTACAAAGGATCACGGTTAAAGAGCGTGTGTCTTGTCTATTTTTCTGTGCCGCTTTTTCTTTCCAGCTTAGCGCTCGGCTATCTTTGCTCTTATAGTCGTAACTTGACGTTGGTCAAGAAGTTCTGAGTTACCGTTTACTTGCAGTTTAGTCAGGGACTTGAACAATATAATTGCCAAACGTTTAGAGGGAGTTTAAGTTGTTAATAGCACTTAGTAGTCTAGAGGGCCTCTAAGCAAATAGTTAGTTATTAAGTAATATATAAGAATTGATTGCTACCTAAATCCGTGGTAAGGAATGTCTACAAATTAATGATCATACCCAAATTCTTTTGCTGATTTTTTCTATATCTGCTTTAACAAGAAAGGCACTAACGACAACATACCCTTCCAGAAATTGCTCGAGTTTTAGATGAAAAGCATTCCCACACGCTTTTGCATAACTCTGTTGCTGTTTAACTGTAACTGTTATAAAACCACGCAATTAAAATTCTGTACCTATCTCTTATCGTGTTAATACAACACATGTCATGACCATAGTTATACAATGTGACTATAAAGTTTGCTTTCCTGTCTTTTTTTACCGTGTTATTGGTCTCTACACTCTGAAGCTGTTTTGTTACACTTTATTATGTATCCACTTATTTTTTTTAACAATCTCAAAGAATCGTTATACACCTTTTACGAAAAGATCTATGCAGGCTCAATTGGTAAATATATGGTGTAAATTTGTTATTTTTTTTTATAAATGATGATGGCATGGTCGGAGAGAAGATAGAAGCAATTAACTTTATTTATCTTACAATTGCTTGTAGTCTGTAACGCCAACTATAGGTTTCAGATGAAGGAGCCTACCCAGTTGCAGGTTTTTCTGCAAAGTCATATACGTAATATATTGGTTTATACAGTACTATGTTGCGATGCTTAAGAAAATATTTAAATAACTGAAGAGTACCCATTTTTACTTTATTAAATTTATAAATATTTATCGCTACCTTAATTTTAAAACTTTTACTCCAAAAATTTTAGACTGACTGCCGAATACCTCAACTGATGGGTTTTAAGATTTTATAGATACGATATCTAAGGGTAACGAGCTAAACAAGAATTAAATTGCATTCTTTGCTTTTAATATTAAAGCGGCTAGAATTTCAGTTAAATAATAAATACTTCCATCACCCAAGACTCCTAATATCATTTAATTTTTTTCTTTATTAAAATTTTTTTGCCAAACCAGGAGATAAGTAGGTTTTATGCTTTTTTTTTGCTTTTCTTTTTGTACTTTTGTTCTTGCCTAATTGTTGAGGAGTAATAGATCAAAGCCCACCTATTTTGTGCATTTTATACTTACTAGATATAATTTTTAGTCTCATGGACTAAGGTAATTTTTTTAAGTAATCCTACGCTTTGAAGGATTTTTTATAAATTTAAATTGTTTATCAAGTAATTATACTAGTAATTTTATTTTATAAAATTAATTTGTTTAAGGAAGTTTTAGCTGGTAAGCCTCACCCCCCCTAAGTTATCATCGTTAGGGAAACGGAAACATTACTATTCTGCTTTAAATCGTTATTAAAATTTTTAAATCAACTTTATAACACCAACTACGGCGGAATTTCACATATCTATACTGTTTATACTAATAGAATACATAAAATAAATTCACGTACAAATTAACATCCTATGTAATGGTGTCAAAAATGAATATATAGTTCTACATTAATTTTGTCCACTGCTTCACTTTATTTTTCGACCAAGAACTAACCACCGGCGATTAACTCTTGTCTTTTTTAAAAAAGTGCGTTTTGTTAGTAAGTAGTCATAGGGTTAGTGGAGTCGTATCTAGAATAACGTATTTATTTTAAGTGTTCATGCGTAATCATTCTAAAAATAATGGCTGAAGACCTAAGTGAGATTTTCCAGATCGAGTACGATGCTATTGTGCTAGGAACAGGCTTAAAGGTGTTAAGTTGGGCAGAGAGAAGGCAAATGCTCCCCATTTGTTTAAATTATTTATGTTAACATTTACCAGGAAAGTATACTCTCAGGCCTACTAGGATGTGAAGGAAAAAGAATACTACATTTGGAAACTAAATCATATTATGGTTCCGAGTGTGCTTCTATCACACCGTTGCCAATGTTGTACAGGTTATTTGGTAAAAACAAAGCGCCAGAAGAAAAGGATTTCGGAAATTTTAAAGATTATAACGTTTTTATTTAATAATTGTTTTTTTAGTTTAACAACTAAATTTATAAATTTTATAGGTTGATTTAATCCCAAAGTTTCTTATGGGGGGCGGCAACCTCGTTAGAATGTTAATTCAAACCGGAGTCACCCGTTACCTTCAGTTTAAAAACGTTGATGGCAGTTTTGTTTACAAAGGTTAGTTAGAATAATTGTTTTAATAATATATTTATACTATTCCTTATCACTACTCAAGGAGGAAAACTTTATAAAGTTCCTGTTACTGGTGAAGAAGCTCTGAAATCTTGTATGCATTTACCCACAATTTCTAATCTTGCACCTATTTAGCTATTGTAACTTTACGGCTAATCTATTTAATATAGGTTTTAACTAATACTTATACTTTTATTTTCCTTTTTAGATTTTTTTAATTTTTGTTTAACCGTAAAGTTCATTTTTAACGTCATAAAGCAGTAGGGATATTTTTCAACTTAAAATTTAATCAAATTTTTTAAAACAGCCTTAATGGGTATTTTTGAGAAAAGACGTTTCGCCAAATTTCTTTCTTGGATTCAAAACTGGGAGGAGGACGATAAGAAAACCTGGAATAGTACTTGAAATTTTTTTAAAATATGGCTTTTACTTTTTATTTAGTTATTGTTGTTTACTGACCTTTTTATTCTTTCAAATCCCTTCATTTTTTTTGGCTATATAATATTGACATGATATATTATACGCTAGTTCAGTTATTTATATTTATTTTCCTTATTTACAGCAATAAAGTCGTTTGTTTAGTTATTCTGGAGTAATACTATATAATTGGTTAAACATTTTGTAGGACTCGAGATGGTGTTGAAGGTTTTGTTAACTCTACTTTTGTGTATTTTGCAATGTGGGCTTTGCTTTGTAATCTAAAATAATCATTACTAATTTACGTTATTTTTGTCGCGTATCGCCAAAATGTATGTGCTGTTATCGCTAAGTGTTTCCCACTGGCGAATTTCAAGCTGGTAACAAACTTGGTTTCATTCCATACCCATACTTTCCTCATAGGCTTCATTATTATTATTTTAGGTTTTGATTCAACACAGTATACTTATATATTAATTAGAAGCTCTTCAGTAACTATACTTACTAGCTCTTATTGAAGCACAAATAAAGCGCTTTTACTTCCTTAAATTAGTTTCTTTTCTTTTCGACTATATTTCAACTTTTTAATTAACAAAATAACTAAACAGTGACTATTTTTGTTCCTCTATTCAGAACTTCCCCCATAATATCACGACATTTTTTTAATATTATGTCACATGTGCTCGTGTGGAGACGCTTAACACTTTATACAAGACTTAGACCCGGAGAAAACTACAATGGAGGAGGTTTTTTCCCACTGGAAACTTGATAAAAACACGCAAGACTTCATAGGCCATGCGGTAGCGCTGCACACCGATGATTCGTACCTTTACCGTAAGGGCTATTCGGACTTTATTCAAAGAGTCAAGTTGTACAGCAACTCACTTGCTCTGTACAAAACTTCGCCTTATATCTACCCGCTGTGAGCCTTTTCGCTTCCCCTTGACTGACTACAGATCGTACTTACCATGGATAGCTATGGTCTAGGAGATCTGCCTCAAGGGTTTTCGCGTTTGTCGGCCGTGTATGGTGGTACCTTCATACTGAGGCAACCAATCGAGGAAGTGCACTATGACGAGAACGGGACTGCCGTTGGCGTTAAAATTAATCATAACGGGGAGATTAAAGTTTTCTTTTTTTTTAACATCATCAAAAAATAGATGGCTTATGCAATCCCATAAAAGGTGGCTCGAGGTAAGTGCGTGATCGGAGAACCTGCTTACTTTTTGAATAAGGTGCAACTTTGAGCCTTACAACGCTTTTCTTTAAATGTTAACATTATTGTAGGTAGAAAAGGTTGGCCAAGTAGTCCGATGCATCTGTATCCTTGATGCGCCCATCCCTCAAACGCAAAATGCGCAGAGCTGCCAAATTATTATTCCACAGAATCAAGTGGGGAGGCAAAACGGTTCTCTTCAGACCCTCCATTACTTTTAGTTACCCCTTTTATTTCGAGTTATAAGCAGATCTCTATGTAATGGTTATCTCTTCCGCCCACTGCGTCTGTCCCGCCGGTCGATACATAGCCATTGCGAGTACTACCGTTGAGACCGCCAACCCTCATGGCGAGCTCGAGACAGCTCTAAGGCTGCTCGGTCCTATCCGAGAGAAGTTACTTTTTTGACCACCGCTCTTCATGTTATATATATAATTTCATCTAAGATTCTACGCCGTAAAGGATATGCTGGTGCCAACAGACGACGGCAGTAAATCGCGGTGTTTTATCTCCTCCACGTACGATGCCACTTCTCACTTTGAGTCCATGTGTGATGATATCTTAGACATATGGAGACGCATGACTGGCAATATAATTTGGTAGCTTTCATCTTTACTTCTATCATATCTTTCCCTTTGTTAGGAAAAGAACTGGACTTAACCAAGCAAATAAATCCAAATCAGGAAGACGACTAAAAAACGCAAATAAATTAACATAGCTTTATTATGATCTAAATATTTTAATCTTGTAACACCGAATTGGTTTTTTTGTTACTAAGTTTATATTTTTGAGTGCATAAACACAAGTAGGTACGCTAAACAACCAACTCATCTTCCAGCTGCGCAAAGTCCGTTTTAAAGTCGTAGAGATCACCTTTACTGTCGTTCATACTGCAAAGACCTTCAAGACGCATCTTACGTTTAGCGTCCTTCCTAGCAGATTTAACTAAACTTCTTTCAATTTTCTTATATTGAGGGTTAAGCATGCGTTCCTCAAGGTCAGCGACCGTTATATTTTCGAAAGAGCTCGACATATGTCCAGTTAACCTCTTGTGAGCCGCAAAGGTAGACTGGGCGTGTGCACCGATAAAGCCAGTGATAGGAAAAAAGACGCAAAACAACCTTTTGTTCTTTATGCTCTGGATTCATAGAAAACCGAGTGTTCAATGCAATCGCCGAGTTAATCTCCTGTTCTGCATAATTAGTTGCGCTTTCAGAAGACACCACTTTTGGCAGTAAAGACACAAAGTTGGCGCTTTTTGATGCCAGCAATGAGAGAAACTGATCTTCCTCCAAAGAAAGTAAACCCCCCAAATCAAAGGCCTTTGAATAGTCGGGAACAATTCTTGTAGACTCTAAAGTACAAATAAACCAGCACTTTTCCTTGGTATTACGAGCATGTAACACCGCACCCAACGGCTCGGAGGGCGGTTCCGTATAAAATGGAATTAAGCCGGAATTCCAATCCCTAAGTACTACTCTTGCGGCCGCCTCAACGTCGTGAATGCCTCCTTTCTTCAAAAGGCCACGCCGACTAGCTACGTGAATTAAGAATTCGTGCGAGTCCTGAATGCAGAAATTTTATAAAGCTCCTGAAGAAGCCTTCTGTCGCAATGACCCAGGATACTGTTAACTATTATATGTAAGCCCCCTTTAAACAGAATAATGTCCCAGTAGTTACCCGGTTCTACCGGATCAGAAAGCGCATCTACAGGGATACAGTTCCGTAATAGTGAATTCTGATCTGCGCTAGAAAATACTACTCCAGGAGAATCCAGAAGTTTTAGATTTCGATCTAAAGACACTCGCTGATGCAAAATAGTTGAATATGCAGTGTTATAAGAACAACACTATAATAACAACTTGTATTGTTTTAGTCACCCCTGGAATAGAGCCCACTTGACAGGTTTTTGCTCTTTTTAACGAATTAATCAAACTACTTTTCCCAACGTTGGGAAGTCCAGCAACCCCAACAGTGATGGTCTATAGCATTATTAAAGCTACAAGTTATAAATATAAGTTAAAAAAATCACAAAAAAACTTTTTTCAAATCAAAACTGCGACAATAGTTCTTTAATAATTTTAACAACATATCGGCCCCAAGAGTTTCCGAGCTGGAGAGCAAACTAGTCGAAGCTTTTTCAACAGGAACATAAGATTGTCCCTATTGCACGCAACTACTGAGATAAAAATAATGCAAATATACAAAAAGACACCAGAAACTGACGGCGCTGATGCGTGGACGCCTTAAAAGCAACTGCAGGTAAAGTCTTTCTTAGATGCTTAAGCCACTGTTGGGCAACGTCCTTAGGTATTAAGTCCACTTTATTTAAAACTAAAACAAGTTTCTTCTCTCCTTCGCCGCCCAAAACCAGATCTTCAAGTTGTTTACAACGACAGCCGAGCGGATCCCGAGCATCCAAAACTTCAAGAATAACATCAGAATCGTTAACAACTTTTTTTAGTTCTTTAAAAAAAAATTTCCGGGTATTGTCTGTTAAATAATGTTACAAATATTAAAACAGGACTTAAAAGTTACCTACCAATGCAATGTTCCTGAGAAATCTGATCGCTAACAAGTTTTGCTTTTATGTCATAATCAATTTCTTTTTTTGAAGCATCCTGCTTATTAAAACAATTTCAAAAAAGTTAAATAACTTCAATTTTAGCGAAATAACAAACTTCAGCCAAAGAGTAAAGATTTTCGCTAAGTGCTCTCAAATGCTGACGTTTTTGAAATTTTTCAAGTTCTTCCTCTTTCCTCCTAACTTTAAGTTGCTTAATAAAGACTTCTTTAAACGGCCACAAATTCGGTATTCCGGGATCTTTCTTGGAAACTTTATAGCATTTGGAATTATAACATATACAAAATACTGTAAAAAATAATAATAATCAAAGTTAGCAACCTTTCGCAATAAAGCCAATCTTTTTTAATTTTCTCATTTTTCTATTATGTTCTCGACATTTTCTCTGTATTTTATATTTTGCTTTAAGTGTTTTTCTTTTACTCTTTGCTTCTAAAAGCATAACATATAAAAACAAAGTAATAATAAAAAGAGCACTCTATGATATATAAGATATAGTAAAAAAGGAAGAAAAAAACAGTTCCGGTAACTTTTCTGGACCATCCAAGTACGCAAGGAAAAAGCAAAGCAGAGCAAGCAAAAAATAAGGGAAGTCACGCCACTGAGAATGTCAACTTTTCTTTTGTGCGTATTTTAAAACCTAAATGGCAGCAGGTGCATGTGCATATTATTGCCATACTTTAAATCCTTATGATTAATGTGCCACGGTTAATCGTTACTCCGCACATCAAAAAAGACATGCGGGTCTGAGGATGTGTACCTTGCCTGGCGGAAACTGGACAATGTGGTATTAACCTACAAAATGTTTTCAATCCCATGCCTACACAGCTGATTTCGATGCGGTGCCGCAAAATGCTTCACATGATATGCTTTGTGAAAACTAACACTCTGCTCGGGGTCGATCTAACATTTAAACCAAAAAAGGTACTCGATCACAATACACCACAACCTGTGCGGCTGGCGCTGCTTTGTCGAACACTTTTAGAAAAGAGGGCACGCTAATAGTTTATCTATTTGCTTAAGTTATGCTAAATCATAGTAAATCCCTGCATACGTCCATTACAGACTAAGCGTAGTTTAAGCAACGTACTAGTCCCTTTATCCCATCCTCCTTTTTTTTGTCCGCTTCTTTACAGCTGCCTTACTAGACGATGCAGTCAAAACGTTTGTTGCCCCACGCTGCTTCTCCAATTCGTCTGCAGGAACGCCTAGTAGGTATCTTCGCTAGGGCCGCTGTATAATGTGTGAACCGCTGCTATGCAACCCGTCAAGACAACTGGTATTCAACCGCCTTTACAGACCCGACAGAAGAAAGGTGTTTTTGTGCTTTAAAAAGCGAAACTGCTTGGTGATCTGATATGGCGGCTGAAAGGCAGATGATTTATTTTTTTAGTTAGGCACATTAAAAACATATGTCAAACGCCCTGTGGCCAATGCATAATGACGTGATACAGTGGTGCTCATTTTCGACCCTTCACTGTACCGTTCCTGCCAACGGATAACCTACTATCTAGAAAGATGATGAAAGGGCCGAGCTACGATACTGAAGCCTTCATACCAGGACTGAGAAATGGTTGTCCGTAGCTCAGCATTAAAAGCATTGAGGCGCATATTCAAAGTGGTTAATTCAATTTCCCGCTGACGCGGTTTTCTCTTTCGGTCTTTTATAGATGGGTGTTTAACCTTGCCTTTAAAATTCCCCAGCCAGCATATTATTAATGAATTGTTCTTTGCAGTTTTTATAATGATTTAATTAAAAAAAGAAATATTGAGAACCTAAGTGTAAGAAAAACTTTATTAAGGTAATTTAACGCTTTTGAGGAAAATGTAAGAAAGAATTTACTATATCTAGAGCTGTTTTAAATAGTTATTTCGTAAGAGTATAATTAAACCAAAGAATTTGCTGGTAATTAGAATATATTGGAGACTCTTGTTTAGCTTTATGAATAAAATAACTTAGCTTCAAAAGAAGCTGCACTACAAGCATATTATAGTCTGCATTTAGTATAAATACTTAAAATTTGTTAATTTTTTTTAAAGGAATTTTAGCATGTAACACACCTATTGGTTATATATATAATGATTATACAAACTTTATATACCTAAACTTAAAAATATTCCATTATATTAATTTTACTTTTATATGTGACGATAAAAAAAATGTTTTTTTTGTAAAAGTATATTGAAAGTGGGGATCACTCTTAATTTTTGTTCGCAATGTGACTGAAAGGAGTGCATAATTAAAAAAGTTTAATTTTGCTGCCAAAATTAGCTTAACACGCCAGTGCCATCTTGACTTAATTAAATTCTACTCACTGTTTCATAAAAAAAAAATTCCAAGACAATTTTTCAAATTTAATTTTTACTTATTTGCTTAAAAAAATGGGGAATATTGGCTCACTATTGACTGTCAACCAGGGATCAGCATCTAGGCTTCACATGTGCATGGAAAAGAAAAAAGCGAGAAATGTCGATAAGCAACAGGGAGATTTCGGGAAAAAATATATTTAAAACTTGACCCGGAACTGGTGAGGTTGGGTTACCCTTCGAGAAGTTTGCTCTCTACTGGTATAGTACACGCACGCTGCGAAATAATTTTTTAAATTCGAACTATATTCTATAAATCCAGTTTGGGATTTGCAAAACTCCACCTCCCTCTCTACGTTACTGTTTTTTCCTGGATTTGTTTTATGGCCTTCCGGCTTCAGGACGTGTAATGCATTCGGATGATTCCGGTTTTGAGGAATGGGAAACAAATAATATTTATGAGTTAGAGAGTGATTAGAGTGGTGACGGAGGACATTTTGGTGACCCGGGCTTCGTTAGTGATCTTGAGAGCGATTTCAAGGTGTTCGTCGAAACTGAACCTGAGGGAATAACTTCGAATGAAATTGATCAAGAACAATTTCATATTGCCTGCAGTTCCTCTAGAATCAAATGCCGAGAAGGGAAGGAAGCACACATCTTTCAGGCAAATTGATACCGCAAAACAGAGAGGAAATTATTGTACTCTGCTTTCCGTTTGGGAGCTATTTTTTACAGATGAAATATTGAATAAAATACTTTAACGGACAAACGAAAAGTAGTCGCAGGTTAGGCTGCGGTTTTCTTCAATAGATAGTACGATTACAGAGATGACCATAGAAATTCGAGCCTTCCTTGAGGTCTATATACTCCTCAGTTTTTTAATCAAATCATGACCTTGAGACACTGCTTGCTACACATGGCACCGGTCGCGATCCTGCTGTGTCATCTCTTTGTAGCGAACACCGGTCTTTCTAGCATGTGTTCGCTTTTATAACGCATGTGAGAGGAGAGTAATTAAACTAATGCATCGGCTGCAATATTTTGAGGGATAAGCAAAACTATTCTACTTCAATGGAGAATACGCTGGTGTAGACAAAATGCTTGTTAGCTTCAGGGAGTGATGTATACCTCATGTATATACCGAATAAACCTCAAAAATACGATTTAAAAATATAATATTAGACAATGCGAAGACCCACTTTATTTATCTATTAATGACAGATCCTGGTGCTCGATCGAGTTAAAAACTTCGGATATACTCGAGCTCTCAATCAGATGTAACCGCAGATATATTACAAATATAGCTTTCAGGGCGTCATTATTTTTTTTACATTAACAACAACAAAAACTAGCTTTTAGGTGCGTCACGTGGTGGCTATAACCTACCCTGTCCCATGGCTCATAAATAAGTTCGCTCACCAGCAGGCATTTAGTGTGCCTGGCTAGCCCATCGGAATGGGCCTGGGTATCAAGTCGGAAGACGGCTCCTAAAGAGCCCAGCTGGAGTCCCGGTGAAGAGCATCATTTCGCACAAACCACAGCGCCTTTGTCAGAACACGCAGTAATTTTTCTGTCGCACTTGAAGCGCTGACGCTATCGCGGTGGAGTCGTAGGTCCAAGCAGCAGACGCGTATGTCATTATTGGCTGGATTTACGACAAATACAAATGCCGTATGTTTTGCAGAAAAGATTACTCTTTCCGGAAAGTAAAGGGTAAAGCGCCTTGGTTGCTGCCTAGATCTTCGCCACCATATAGTCCACGTGAGGCAGCCAGGAAATTTTGTTGTCGACGAGGAATTCCAGGCATTTCTCTTGAGAATACCATAGAATCTTCACTCTAGTGAAGGTAAAGGGCACCAACAAAGGGATACGTTTTTTTGAAATTAATATGGCTGCTCTTCATCTCATTTATAATAACCTTCCATTCACGGCACCAGGCAGCAAGGGTGTCAAGATAACGCTGTGGATACTTGCATAGAAAGAAGGAAGACTTCGAATAGGTATATACGGTAGTATCATCAGCATAGAGGGCTATTCGTGTGTGTGAATCGGACAGCAAGGGCACGTCGCTCATGTAAATTGTAATTATTAGGGCCGAGAGAAGTGATCCCTGAGGGGCCCTTGCTGTCAGAGATCGAAGCGGCGACCGGGTATCTCCTACGCGCACGCTGAAGATGCGACTATTTAGCTTTGCTTTCAGCACGTTATAAAGGCTATGAGGGACGGATAACGACATTCGTGCCAAACTTGATCAAATGCCATTTTAACTTCAAGGAAGCCAGTGCCTGTTGCCTTATGGTTAAATCGAAAAAGGCCCATTCATCCAAGCGGAGGAGCTGATGGACCGTTTAGTGCCCTTGTCGAAATCCTAACAGAAACTTCACTAAAGCTTTTTGAGCGTCAACGACCTCTTTAAGACGGTTCAGTAGAACGGGTCTCCCCACTTTGCCGGTTGCTGACAATAGGCTGATGGGTCTATTGGGTCTGTACTTGCTAGATGCTGATCCTGGTTTAAGCGTTTTTGGTAGCGTCACGAAGGCCGCCGTCTTCCATCGAATCGGAAAGGCTCCAGGGAGCATCGAAGATTTTATAAGCAGGTAAAGATAGTGCGTTCCATTAATGGCACTTTCTTCAACATCTCATTAGTGACGCCATCGGAACCAGGAGCTTTTCGTATAGGTAGCGCTTCAACAATTGCTTGCACCTCGTCAACGTTAACTAGATTAAGTGGTTCGTAGTTAACGTGAAGGGATAAGCTCAGCTGAGGAAAGGCAGCATCATTGGCAGTATAGTGAGCAGCTGGCCATTTCAGATAGCAAGGACATTGGCGAAAAATGTAGTTTTATCTCCATCACTCTCGGCCATATTACCTTCACGAAGGGGCGGTAGTGTTGCAAGCCCTTCATTTTTAATTTTTTTAACTAATTTCTAAAGGTGGAGCAATTACTGGTGCCTGATTCTGATATACGATGCAGTTTGCTTTCCCATTTTATTGTTAAAATGGGTTATTAGGTTTTTTTTGATGCACCTGTGAAGTCGATTAAACGCAAGGTTTTCTTCGGCGCTCTGCAGCAACATGGCTAATCGGATAAGACGTCGACGTTGGCAGATAAGTGACTTTAATTCGTCAGAAAGACGTCGGCGCGGTACGTTACCTCACAAGTTGTCGTGGCAGTTAGTGTGAACTTTGTTTAGTGAGGTTTCTATAAGAGCAAAAGCATCATTCAGCAAAACGGGGGTGGACCGTAATGACGGACACGGCGGCAGCGTCCTATATACTACATCAGCATATCTGTCCCAGTTCGTAAAAATTCGGGTAATGGTCTTTGGCTTCTCATCGCTAAATCGAGAATAACTAGGAGGTGATCAGAGGACAACTCGTGGAGTGCTTCAATTGCCTTTGAAAGACTTATATCTTTAAGTAAAGCAATATCCTGTATGTCCGTTGCGCCTGTAGTCGCCAAGTGTGTGGGTTGCTGGGGGTCTAGTACATAGAACCCCCTGCTCCTTAGCATAGGTCTAAAGGGTGTGCGCATTCGAGTTACCGGCTCGGCTGTTCCATATAGGATGTTTGCAATTAAGATTCCCGAACAAAGCAGCAGAAGAGGCACTCCCAAAGATGACGTCCAAATCAGAGGGCGGAAATTTTTTCCAAATGGATTATAGACAGCGATTACAAGCACGGGCCTCTGCTCGGTCATACATAGGGATTTCTCCTCTGCCTCGACACATGCCGGATATATTCCGTCTTTAAAATTACTGACATCAGCCGTATTGGCGGCAGCGACTGTTCTGCTTTCTCAGTAAAAGCATAGCCAGGGGGTTTAGAAGCAAATCTTTGACGAGGTTTTGTCCTCAAATGAGACCATAAGAAAACTCCGGGGTAAAAGTATTGTCAGTTGGCACCAATGAAGAAAATTTTACTGGTTTACTGGCTGGCTTACGCGGAGAATGTTTGCAGCCTAGATAACTAGCGGTATGTGTGTCTCGTCACAGTTAGCACATCTAGCGGGCAATTTTGGGATTTCGTAGATTCTGGCAGTCAAATGGCCCTCACCGCATTTAACGCATCGAAGTGCCACCGCGCAAAAGCTTGCAGCGTGGCTAAAGGTTTGGCTCCAGTGGCACTGGCTGCTTTTTAGAAGTTCTTTTATTATGATCTGAAGTTGGGAAAAGTCTTCATCTCTAAAAGCTTTTGTCATTCAGTTACGGGTATATGCACCAGCACTAATTATAACGGACTCTTCTTCCGCTCACCGATGAAAGTGTCCCCCTTGTGCGTCCGTGCCACTCGGAGGAGTATGATACCTTCCGCGCAGGTCCGCCTCGACGGTGGAGAGTTCGCCATAAATTCCTCGAATAACAAATTTTAGGTGACTTTTTTTCAGATAACTGATAGGTAAAATTGTAAATCTTTCCAGCGCATTATGGCTGTGACCGCGCGTTATCCTTGTGCTATTGTCGAAAATATTTTAATTCCAAGACGCGTATCTCTTAATTTCGGGGTCATGGCACCGTTGGAATACAAGAGTTGTACTAGAAGGGACTACTTTTGTTTTACACAAAGGATAAAAGGAGGTATTTTTCACTTTACGAGTTCGCAGAGGGAGTTCTGCAGTAGATGCTCGTTTATTAAATAGAGGGATAGTGTCAGAAGCGCTGTTCATCTCTATGTCCACGGTGTCTTGTAAAGCTTTTGTGTCTCCTCTGATTTTCTTATGATTTTCAGGTTTTGCCGTTACCTTAATGGGGAAAAATTTACTACTAAAGACCTACTACTTTTTGAAAGCGTATATTTATTCTGGGAAGAACAGCGATGACTTACCCTTTAGGAAATTAAAAAAAAAAAGGGAAACCGACTTAGTTAACATTGATATGGCTTCTCCAATTCATAGAACAAACCGAAACATTAGTATTTATAACTAATTCTCATCCAGTCCTCTTGCGCTAGAACTAAAAAAAGAAAGAACTGACATTCGTTGGGACCCTGAAATGCAAAAGAGAGGTAAGCCATGATTTTCTTCCTGCAAAGAGAAACCAAAAAATGTCCGCCCATTACGGTTTTACTAAAGACCTCACTCTAGTATCCTTTGTGCCAGAAAGAATAAAACCGTTCTTCCAATTTCGTCAATTGCGCCACGATAGCCTTATTCACCCGGTTTTTGAACAACCAGCAATGATCGAGTTTTACAATGAAATTAGAGGAATGGAAGCTTTGGACGGAAAAAGCACCGTTTACTCCACTAGTTGACGAATCAACTAATGGCCTCAAGCTATTTTCTTCACTATTTTAAACATTAGCCTAGTCAATGTTAACGTGTTAATAGTTTTCTCGGAATATTGTGCAAAAAAGAATTGAATATATTAAAAGTCTTGCTAAAGGACTTGCAGAGCTTAACTGAACAATAGACTGCTGAACAGTCGTCTATCTCGTGAACTGCAACTGAAAAGCTCAAACCCTCAAAAAAATCCATAACCAGCCATTCTCCACAACTTGTGGAAGTCAAGGTTCATTTGTTTTTAATGTAGCACTTAAATCTGCGGCAGCTATACTTTGAGCTTTTGTGTGGATTGTACTCAATAAATATTAGCCAAATAGTTATTTTTAAATATATCATGTTTTTTTAGAGTTAGGATAACTCAGTAGAAGTAGAAACGTTATTACTTACGCAGTGTTAACTTGTTACATTTCAGTTTGCTTCATAATTGATGTAACACACATATTGTCAATTTTGTATGCATTTTACATCTATAAACATTTCTTATATTTTAATTTTGTATCTATGCATTCACAAGAGGTCTTTAATTAACAAAAATAGTCTTAAAAAGGTTCCTACCACTTTATCTCTGAAAAAAACCTTTATACATATTGGGTTTTAGTCCTACGTAGTCAGTTATGAGTTAACTGTTGAGTAATTAGGGGCTTACCTATTCTTAAAAAAACTCGGTCGGATCCTTTTTCTAAATTACTATGTGATAAAAAAGATTTTAAGGTTACCAAAAGAGAACACTTTATTAGTAGGGAGCTTCTCCCTATATACCTCTAATCTTTCAGCTTCTATCGATTAATGAAAGCTTAAGTTATACCGTTTGGTGGTAATAGTTTAAATTTTTTCGAAGTTTCTGCATTTTCTTTTAAATATGGGACCATCTTATTTATTTTGTTTTTTAGTGGTGTCTTAACGGCTTTTATCAGTGTTCTCTTAATCATAAATAGAATATTGGTATAATGGAATCAACAAAAAAATGTAATTTTTTTTATAAAATAATAAAGTTGTCAATTACAGTATACGAAATGTCCGCAAATATTCCAATATGTAACAATTATAAGTTACACTATCGTATGTAGAGAGTTTAAAAAAGTATTACATGAATGGATGAAACAATAAAAATGATATAACTCTTTTAAGTCTTTGAATACTTAAGCTCATTATAGACATAAAAAAGTACAGAATAACATATGATGAAAAAAAATGTTGTTCAGTGGCAACGCAATGAATACTAAATAAAAGTTTGTAGAGAGGAATTTTCGCATTCGAAAATAAATTTTGTAGTCAACATACTTTACATAAAATTTTAAATTATATCTTTGGTAAATTCAAAATATATTTAGGGTAGGTCTTAACAATGAGGGTTATAAAAAGAGGTTTTGTGAAAAAACAAATAGAGTATTATATTACTTGACACCTTTGAACATGCTGATCCAATGAAGATTTTTAAGGTTTTCGGGTTTATTAAGCATTTTAAAATGACTTTAACAGTCTTCTTATTAATGGATTTTCAAATATATTATAATTTAATATTGTTATAGCTATGGATATGGTAATTATAGGGCCCAGATAAGTCTAGTATTCACAGGAGTGCGAGGAGTTGTCAAAGTTATTACTAGTTTTCCTATGGTTTATAGATGAGCTTGTATTATTAGTTTTTTCCTTACGCTTTTTTAAATATCTACTTTTTTACAAAAATTGCTCAATGTTAATTTTTTTTAACATTCAGAAAGCTTTAGACAAGGTAAGGCTTAAAAGTATTATATGCAAGATAATAAAGCGAACACTTTCCTCATATTTGATAAAAATTTTTACTTTAGCGTTCTAACCTACTTTATGCTGACTTCCCCCAGCTTTCCTTGTAATCACCTATTTTATACTCCTTCACGCCCACACATTTTTAGCCTCTATGTTATGACTGTTATTTACAGTAATTTAAAAATCTTGCCTCTTGCAACTAATTTTA